TAAGCTGCTTTTGTCCCATTATTGGCTCATGCTTACAGGAGCCCTCAGTACGATTGCTCCAGGGCTGGGCTCGCAGAGCGGCTTTGTTCTGCACTTGCTTATAGCACGGCACTATTGGATGCGTTCCCATAAGCGTCAGTGTTGCAACGGGAGGGACCGTTCAAAAGGGAATGCTCCAGTAGCATAACGTAACCTCGGTTCCCTGAGATAAGGAAACAAGCATTGCATAGGCTTCCGTGTTTCAAGGCTGCACATGAATTTATAACGGTCACTTCAAATTATACAGTGGTCAGCTCCTTCCCTTTTGGCGGGTTGACATGCCATTGGTTTGTGCAGTTACACGACTGTGAACAAATCAGGCTTCAGTATCAGAGTAAACAGGATTTTCCCAAAAAGCATCAGCAACCCTTATCTCAGGGAACGAGGTTACATTAGCTGAATTCTACCTAATCCCCTTTGTAAGTGAAGAGGGGTATGTTATGTAGTCCTCAGCCTAAGCTGCTTTTGTCTCATTATTGGCTCATGCTTACAGGAGCCCTCAGTACGATTGCTCCAGGGCTGGGCTCACAGAGCGGCTTTGTTCTGCACTTGCTTATAGCACGGCGCTATTGGATGCGTTTCCTATAAGTGTCAGCGACACAACGGGAGACACCGTTTGAAAGGGAACGCTCCGGTTACTAACGTAACCTCGGTTCCCAGAGATAAGGGAACGAGCGTTGCGTAGGCTGCCGTGCTATAAGGCTACAATCGAAACGATGACTGTCACTCCAGTCGAAAGATCATCACCTTCCTCAGAAACAGAAGTTTCTCCATAAGTGTCAGCGACGCAACACTCGTTTCCTTTACAGTATCTCATGGAACCGAGGTTACTTTAGTAACCAGAGCATTTTAGCATTGCGCATCCTCATGTTATTGTCGACTGTATTAAGTTTTTCCTGAATTGACTTTTTCAGACTATAAAAGTACAAATAAAACTCTTCTTTACTCCAATTAACGTGTTTCTGTCACCATTTGATATTTTTCCTCTCAAATGCTGAAAGACGTTTATACAACATGCGGTGTTTCCGTGACTATCACGTGAATGGGTGTCGGTTGCTAAGCATCTAGCCGTAATATTTTACATTTAGTTTGGCAAGGCAAATGGGGTATAGTGACACAGAAGCGGTATAACCCCGGGTAAAAGGCGGTTCTAATCCAATACCTAGTATGAAACGTTCCTTTACCGGTGTTTAGAATAACGATAAGCAGGGTTAATCGCAATGTGAAAAGCCTGTATCTGCTGTCTTCATGCAGGGAGAAGGTGCAGTTGATGAAGTCAGCATTAAATTAAGTTCACAATCTGTTCCAAGTACTTCCGTAATGTGACGTTATAACTGGACGATATGTTGATTATTCACTGGTTTTACAATCATTCCATAACTTGTGACTTGCAACCAAGATGTTCAACAGGAAAACAGGACCTTATTCACAATAAGACCAGGAATATGTAAAAGAGTTCGTTTAGAGTTCATGTTGACTTTAAATGTATAAATATCTGATATGTATTCGTGTGTCTCGTTAATGGACAGACAGTGATATTAAAACAATAAGCACAACTACATGACTCACAGAGCGGCTTTGTTCTGCACTTGCTTATAGCACGGCGCTATTGGATGCGTTTCCTATAAGTGTCAGCGACACAACGGGAGACACCGTTTGAAAGGGAACGCTCCGGTTACTAACGTAACCTCGGTTCCCAGAGATAAGGGAACGAGCGTTGCGTAGGCTGCCGTGCTATAAGGCTACAATCGAAACGATGACTGTCACTCCAGTCGAAAGATTCTGACGAAATGAGAGTAAACAGAAGTTTCTCCATAAGTGTCAGCGACGCAACACTCGTTTCCTTTACAGTATCTCATGGAACCGAGGTTACTTTAGTAACCAGAGCATTTTAGCATTGCGCATCCTCATGTTATTGTCGACTGTATTAAGTTTTTCCTGAATTGACTTTTTCGGACTATAAAGGTACAAATAAAACTCTTCTTTACTCCAATTAACGTGTTTCTGTCACCATTTGATATTTTTCCTCTCAAATGCTGAAAGACGTTTATACAACATGCGGTGTTTCCGTGACTATCACGTGAATGGGTGTCGGTTGCTAAGCATCTAGCCGTAATATTTTACATTTAGTTTGGCAAGGCAAATGGGGTATAGTGGCACAGAAGCGGTATAACCCCGGGTAAAAGGCGGTTCTAATCCAATACCTAGTATGAAACGTTCCTTTACCGGTGTTTAGAATAACGATAAGCAGGGTTAATCGCAATGTGAAAAGCCTGTATCTGCTGTCTTCATGCAGGGAGAAGGTGCAGTTGATGAAGTCAGCATTAAATTAAGTTCACAATCTGTTCCAAGTACTTCCGTAATGTGACGTTATAACTGGACGATATGTTGATTATTCACTGGTTTTACAATCATTCCATAACTTGTGACTTGCAACCAAGATGTTCAACAGGAAAACAGGACCTTATTCACAATAAGACCAGGAATATGTAAAAGAGTTCGTTTAGAGTTCATGTTGACTTTAAATGTATAAATATCTGATATGTATTCGTGTGTCTCGTTAATGGACAGACAGTGATATTAAAACAATAAGCACAACTACATGACTCAACACAGAAGCTGAACATCAGTGCGCTAATGGTTCAAACCACATTCGAATCTATAGTTTTTTTATTTGTGACTTTAATATTATGATGATGTATATATTTGTACAGCTCGCGTTACTCATATCTAGGTGAGATTTGACTGTGAATTATGCATATGTTGATTGACTAATTGTGCCCCTGCGAGCCGTATGCGCTCTGTTTTATGTATTGACAGGCATGATGAGGTCAGGCCCAGTTTATAAACATTAAGAGTTGCATTTATTTTTAGTAATTTTTACATAATTTATGCTTTATACGTCAAGTAATATCCTGGGATGTAGAGCATTTAATCATGTCAGTCAGATTTACGATTAGTGTTTGGTGATGAAGATGATGGTACCAAAATCTCATTACAAAATTGTAATGATTTAAATAGATTTTCTCAAGCGTTTGGACAATGGCGTATTGTGTCGTTTCATATGATCCGGGCCAAAGGTCATTGTGATCTTGATTCCCCGTTTAAATCTAATCTGTAAATCACACATTAGAAACACTATTCGTGACTTTAATATTATGATGTTGGAGGTGTGTATATATTTGTACAGCTCGCGTTACTCATATCTAGGTGAGATTTGACTGTGAATTATGCATATGTTGATTGACTAATTGTGCCCCTGCGAGCCGTATGCGCTCTGTTTTATGTATTGACAGGCATGATGAGGTCAGGCCCAGTTTATAAACATTAAGAGTTGCATTTATTTTTAGTAATTTTTACATAATTTATGCTTTATACGTCAAGTAATATCCTGGGATGTAGAGCATTTAATCATGTCAGTCAGATTTACGATTAGTGTTTGGTGATGAAGATGATGGTACCAAAATCTCATTACAAAATTGTAATGATTTAAATAGATTTTCTCAAGCGTTTGGACAATGGCGTATTGTGTCGTTTCATATGATCCGGGCCAAAGGTCATTGTGATCTTGATTCCCCGTTTAAATCTAATCTGTAAATCACACATTAGAAACACATCAAACACTCAACTACAGTCAGTTTCTTTTTAAGGGCTTTTTACCAAGACATCAAGTGTAAAAGAGTTATTTTTAATCTTCTGTTTTTATGTTCGGAACAGCTGATATACTGCATTTCACTTTTTTGATACTTTATTTCTTGTACTGTGGAGAGTTTACCAGAGTTAAAGAATGTTTTATAATATTTATTCATGTGAAGTTTTCAATACATCTTTTTCCTCTTGTGTGTTCAATAGTTTTGCTAATTGTTTCTGTCCTTGTTTTTTTTTTAAATTCATCCTATAATGTAACAAACAGTGTTTAATTTTATAGAAAGCTTGAATTTGTTCCTGTTAAATTGCCTTTTTCCTTAAATAATCTGATGTGAAGTGAGCGTGAGAGCCAGGACTCGTTGTGAGGATGTTGTTCGTTTTATTCATTAGCTGAGAGGAAAAATGTTTTATTCATTAGCTCTGAAGTGTCTCTGGATTCCTATTAAGCAATTATTAATTTGCCTTAGAAAAACTGCCTTCTTAAGCATTGCAATATCCATCATGTCGATTTAATGTACAGTCCTAAATCCAGTCTGTTTGCAGTATAACTGCACATGCATTTTAACATCTGCACAAATGCTGTAGATTTTTAAACTCTTGACATGTTGGAGTATCACAAGACTCATCATTGAGGTCGTGGAAACTAAACATGTAAATAAACGTGTAAAAATGCAGCTGCAGTGTGCATGCATGTGAAACAGAGCAGTAACTTGGCTGTGAATTTTATTTTAAATCTTATTTTTTTCTCAGCGAGTGATGATCAATAAAATAAAAAATACAATAATAATTGTTGGGTTGTGCATTTTACTTATTCATATAAAGTCATTCATTATAGAGTGAAGATTCTTTATAATATCTGCTTCATATATTAAACACGTCCAATTCACATCTCATCCCAAAATCATAAAAATAATAAATATTCTATGTATTTTTTCCCACTCATTAGATTCTCTTTAATGTCATACAGTAATTTTACTGTATTCAAATAAATTTCAGTAATATGAATTTTTATTATTTGTTTCTGTTGCTTTTAAGGTGAAATATGACCCACACGTGAATCATCACATTTTACAATGTCTCATATTATATCAGCACAGTATGTGACAAACAAATAAACACATTGGTGCAATTTAAAAGATGCAAAATTGAAGCAAGAAAATATTTCCATTTTAGAATTTTTATTATGCTTTTTTTTAATCAGTTCCTTAGTTTTATAGTAAAATATCAATTAAAAATATTCTTGTGCTGTTTTGAGTCCCTGTAAATAATGATATCATGAACAAACTAATTAGAATTTAAAATATTACTCCATTAAATCATAAGTAACCAGCTTCCATTTCATTCAGAGGAACGAGACAATGTTATGTTTGATTGTGTCTTCATTTCATACGATCACAACCTGAGACATTTGCATATCTGCATTATCATAGAATATCACAAACCAGCACAATACTGATGGAAATACATAATACCAACAAAATATTAAACACTAACAATTGGTGGAAAATAAATAACACTTCAGAGACAGAGATGCAGCAGCAGTGTTGCAGCATGTTAGGGTCACCATCCGCTCCGGCGCTCAACGTTTACATGCAGACAAACACGATTAGATCAGATCTGCCATCTGATTTAACATACGCGTTTAATTAGAATGAAAGGCCCTCTTCAACAAGCTCATGTCAAGGCATCACCTCTGTGTTGTTTACAGTCGGATCGGACACTTTTAACCCCATCCGTCTGGGGGATTTTCTTTGATTTACTTTTAACCTGCAAGAAAACAAAAAATCAGCCTCTAAAGATGCACTATATGGAGTGAAGACACTTAATATATCATAAGCGATGTAGATAAATAGATGAGGGTCCATATTTATATAACCCATCACTTGCTCACCAATGCATCCTCTGCAGTGAATGGGTGCCGTGAGAGTCCAAACAGCTGATAAAAAGTAACCCACACCACTCCAGTCCATCAGTTAACATCTTGCAAAGCCAAAAGCTGCGTGTTTGTGAGAAACAAATTTTAAAAAGTCCATCTGGTCTGAATCGGGAGAGAAATCTGCACAGATCAAACAAGCCAAAACAGCACAATGTGGCTGGATTTTGATGTGAGTGACAACAGGAGATGTACTTTTTCACTGCAGGAAGCGTTATTATGGATTATGAACTCATATTTTAGTTAAAAACGTCTTAATGCTGGATGTGTTTCAGCTTTTGTCTTCTCCAGATGTTCACTGATGGACTGGAGTGGTGTGGATTATTGTGATGTTTTTATCAGCTGTTTGGACTCTCATTCTGACGGCACCCATTCACTGCAGAGCATCCATTGCTGAGACACTGATGCAATGCAGCATTTCTCCAAATCTGATGAAGAAACAAACTCATCCTAATCTTGGATGGACTGAGGGTGACTACATTTGCAGCAATTGTTCATTTTTGGGTGAACTATTCCGTTAAGAATGAAAGAAATATGACATTTGAGCATGAGATTGAGCCGTCTGACCTCGTCTCTGTGCGCTGGTCTCCTCTGGGTGCTGCTGGTGTTTCTGCCACACTGTGTGCCGGCGTTCACCAGCTTCTTCTCTTCCTTCTGACCTTTACAACAACAACAACAACAACAACCCAGAGTCCTTCATATCCTTCATATGCCTGAACACCAGCGGATCTCAAACTTTGGGACTCCCTAGTTTAGTTTTTTTTCAAACTTATTTTAATCTACTCTCCTAGAGTCTGTTAAAAAACAAAAAGTTAACAAGTTAAAATTAAAATCTAAAATAATATGAATAAAAATATAAATAGAATTCTATAAGTTTTAGGAGCTGAATGTTATTATTAGCCAATAAATTTACAGTCATTCATGATTTACTAGACAAGGATAAAAGATTAATATGAATAAATATGAAGGAGCAAAATTTATATTATTTACTCACTTTTCTTTCTGTGTGTGTTTTATTTTATGTTCGGTCTGATGATGTTTATTTTTACTGTTATATTTGAAAAAAGCAAAATAAAAGAATAATAATAAATACATAAATACAAATATTGTTTACTCACAATTTCTACCCAATAAATGTTTTTCTAAAACTAGTATAATTCATTATAAAAATGCCCTGCCTTTTAAGATGTTATTAATTTCCATACATTTTTCAAATATAACAATCACACTCTTTAAATTAAACCCCATACATCCAGGTTAACAGCGGTCATCTTGATTTATAAAAGTAACCAAGAAGCTGTTGAGGGGTACATAAAAAATATCTTGATTTTTTTAGTTGTTTTATTTCATTTTAAGTCCTTAAGGCCCTCTAATGGGCCCCGGACCCCTGGTTGAGAACCAGCCAGCATCCCTGAACGTTTCCATCTAAAAGCCTCTGCTTCAGTGCTTGAAATGAGTTTGATGAGTGTTAACTCAAGGTAACTATGGGATGTGGGCTCTATGGTTACCATATTTGTTAGAAATATTATATATTGCTATTTGTGGATTATGCATTATGGGCCTCAGTGAATGTTTCAGATGACAATCCCACAGTAGCCTACTGTTTGATTCCATAAGATACTACGAATATGAATGGCATTATATAAATACCATGGTAGTCTTTAAAGAGTGTATGTGTCATAGGTATCTCTGTGTCGTAAGAGATGATGGAGTCTGACCTGCTCCGGCTGCCGCTGCCGTCTGGTCATTCTCTGTCGCGCTCTCGCCGGTTCCGGTACCGGCAGCTGCCCGCTGCGTCTCGGTGTCCGTGCTCGTCAGCCACGTCGACTCGGTGTCTCTGCTCTCGTAATATCGGGGTTCGATCGTCGCGGACCTGCTTCCCCCGCAGCCCATCGAGCCCATGAGCATCCTCACACACACTCAGACACACACACACACACACACACACACACACTCAGACACACACACACACACAC